TGGTCCCGCCTTTCCAGCCATGTTGTGGGAAAAACTGAAAGCAAAAGTAACTACCATTACTCAGCTAATGGCCCTAAAATGGAGCCTTACCCCACCCACACCTGCAAATCCCAGTGGGAAAGGAATAGGCTGTTCATTGTCGTCCCCAAAGAGATTGTAAAGGTATCCCTGCAAGGGACTGGGCACAGAATCCAGAAAACAAGGCACACTCTTAAAAAGGGGCCCTCCCAGCCTGATCCAGGGTAAAGGAGGAGGGAAAGAAAAGAAGGAGGGGGGGTTGGGCAGCTCTGTTGTCTCTAAACCGCCTCACTCTCATCCCCCCCCATGCCTTGCCAGCTTGAACTGGATACAGTCCTACCGTGGTTCAGTCACCCAGTCAAACTGCACAGGAGCCGCGTTCCTCCACATCTCAACCTGAAAGCAGGAGGGGGCTCAGTTTCAGTGCCAAAAGGGAAGGTGACGGAGTTCCTGTGCCACCCTCAGCTGCCTCTCATAACCACCGCTTTCCCTGGGCTCTCCACTGAACGTTTGTTCCCCAAGTCGCTGCACGCTGCCACAGCTGGGGGGGGGGAACGGTTTCCCGCCGTCTTCCCAGCAGGGTCCAGGGCATTTCTCATGGCAGTGTGACTACCTGGGTGCCTCCCAGGTCTGCCGCCGCCAGAGCCTTGCTTCCTCGAGGCCCGCAGTTCTCAATTGGGAATGGGGCGGGAATGTGATAACCTTCCCTTGCAGCCCTCTGTGGATCTCCACTTCTTCTTAATGTCTTCCTGTGTCTTCTGGGATCTTCATGCTCTTCAGAGCACAGCCAGCACATCCTGCTCAGAAGTCAGGGCTGGTAAGACTGGGGATTAGAGCATAAACCCCTCCCCTCCGGGATCAAAGTTTGCTGGCCCTGCCTACGGAAGAGGAGGTGCTTTCCCAGGAGTAAGGAGTCAAGGACTGCCCCACTCCTGGACCACTAGAGAAAAAGTATTTCAAACTTGAGGAATATATGCTCATTCACTGAAAGCCTTTAACCTCAGAGGCTGTTTTGCCACTCTATGGTTAATCTATTAGGTATAACATCAACCTAAACTGCATTTAATTTGTACTGATATTCTAGTTTCAGTATTAATATAGTTCTGTAGCTATTCTGGTTTGGGAAATACCAGGATATTTGGGGGGTAGAGCTCAAATCTACAGGTCTGCCCCCCTAGTATTACCAGCCTCCAGGCAGCACCTGGAGATCTCCAAAATCAATTCTCCTGGAGAAAATGGCTACTTTGGGCAACAGACTCTATGGCATTATACCCTGCTGAGGTCCCTCCGCACCCCAAACCCTGCCCTCCCCAGGCTCTACCTCTCAAATCGACAGGTCAACCCTCACCTTTGTATTGCCAGCCACCAGGCAGCACCTGGAGATCTTCAGGATCAGTTCTCCTGGAGAAAATGGCTGCTTTGGGCAATGGACTCTATGGAATTATACCCTGCTGAGGTCCCTCCGCACCCCAAACCCTGCCCTCCCCAGGCTCTACCCCTCAAATCTACAGGCATTTCCCAACCCAGAGTTGGCAACCCTGTAACTGACTATGGAACCGCTTTCCAGACCCTTGGAACCCAGAAGACATGGCATAGGAGGAGGTGCTTTTCTACTTTAGCTGCCATTGCATAACCCCAAATCATCATAAGTGGAGGGAACCATACCTGTTACCATGAGGCTGTCCTCCCATACTACCCACTTTGGGCAGCAAAATGACTTGAGACAGCCTTGCCTTATAGCTAAGCAGAAGGAAATAAACATGGCTTGCCTCCCACTATTTCCCCCTTCCCTCAGCTGTCCCACCAGCCACAGCCGGGACACTCACCTAGAGCTTCCTTCTAGAGCTTGTTGTATTTCTTCCCACAATGGGCCTTACTCCTAGTCAACAATAAATATTAGTCCTGTAAAACTTGACATGACTGTGTACAGGATCAATACATCCCATCTCTGCACTAGCATTGTCCCTCCTGTGCATGGCTCTTGCAACTGACCACAGTGCCTATGCAAGTCTAAATCCTAACCACTGCTGCAGTTTAAACTATTTGGGCTTATACAAAAGTCTGGCTAAATGCACTTCCCATTTTAAAAACCTGACAAAATCAACTTTTCCTTGCCTTTCCTCCAACCTCTTCTTTCCCTTCCCCCACTCTCAATTTAGGAAGATAAAAATTCCGTCCATGACATCAAAACCCTTGGGTGTCCGTATCTCTTACAGCTCATCACTGCATGCCATTTTGTGCTACTTGAGAACAGCTGTAGCATCACAGCCAAGAATAAGGAACTCCCCAGTTCAAATTGCCTTGGCAGCCTTAGGCAAGTCACTTTTCTTTCAGGTTGAGTCTTGCGATATGTATACAAAACCACTGACCAAACATACAGAATTGCAAGGATTACTGAGATCATGACAGTAAGATTTGAATTGTGCTATATTAAGGTTATTTTGTAAAGGATGAATCTAGCCGTCCAATTGCAAAACACTTCAGCAGTAAGGTTCATGAATTCTTTCTTTTCAGTGAACCATGGAAAAACAGCTGAGAGAGGAGGCTTTGAAAATCTCTTCAGTGAGCAGGTCTGCATTTTCTTTGGAAAAATTATTTTAACTGAAGTATATGGGAAAGTCAACAAAACCTCTATTTAATACTAAATTTTAATTAGGAGCTAGCAAATATTTTCAGATTCATGTTTCACTGGTGAAAATTCAGAATCACATTAACAAGTCCAGTGATTGCCCCAGCTGCGTTCTGAATAAACAGAAATCAAGAATAATAAGGCCTTCATGACTGAGCGTGTTTTTATCAACCACGGGTACACACTATGGAGATTCTGGGGAATTTCAGACAGGCGATATCTCCCGGTAGAGAACCGGTTCTCAAACGGGTTTCAGACAGAACCCGTTTGAGAATCGGTTCCCTACCGGATTGTAACTGCCATTTCATACACAAAAGCTTCTGTCCCGTTTAGGAACCGGGACTGAAGCATTTTACCTGTCAACCACTTCCGAGTAGTCTTCAGTTCCCTCTCCCGGTTCTGTTACGCTTTTCCCCCCGCCGTTTTTCACCCGCGCGGGCTTTTTTTTTTTTTTTTGAACGTTCGATTTATAGCGTTATATCGCTATAACGCTATACCGGAAATTCAAACTCCAATGGGATCGCTATTGCGATGGTTTGGTGTTCCGGTATAGCGTTATATCGCTATAAATCAAACTTTAAAAAAAATTCGATCACCTGCGCGGGAAGAAAACGGCGGGAAAACAAAGCGGTGCAAGTCTGAAATGCCAAACCGCTTCTGATCCGGCTCATTTCCAGTAGGGGCAAGCCATGTGTGAAATGGCAGCCCTGTACCGGTTCACTTCAAAACGGAAGATTACCAGCTTGAAATCGGGTGAAACTGGGTAATGTGAAATTCCCCTCTGTTTCCTCAGCTGCTCCTGAAGGGAAAAGGCCAATGATCCACAGGTCCAAATAGTTTCAGCCAGTGTTCCCTCTAAGCTGAGTTAGTGTGAGCTAGCTCACAGTTTTTTAGCCTCCGGCTCACACATTTTTGTCTCAGCTCAGGAAGGATGGCTCCAGAACACACTAATTTATGCAGTAGCCAAATCACCTGCTCACAACTTTAATGCCGGTAGCTCACAAAGTAGAATTTTTGCTCACAGGACTCTACAGCTTAGAGGGAACATTGGTTTCAGCCTGTCCTTCAGCAAGAGGGTGCAATCTATGAAGGGAGGGTGATAATCTTCAGAGGAACTTCTCAGAAGAAAGGAAGCTACTGTTGGACAATTGCAGTAGATACCCCCCACCCCAGTATTACCATATCAGAGTTCGCCCAGTGAGTTTGTGCAGTCATTGACTGATTATGTGATGAGGTAACTGTGTGGCCCTCGGATTGCCAAAACAAAGAAGTCGTCTTTGGCAACTCTTACTGTATGCATACTTTTCCAGAGGAGGCTAGATGATGAAAAGCAGTTTAGAGGCAGTTGATCGCACACTTCATTTGCTTCCAATGGATCATGCACTGAGTACCTTGGCCTGATATAGAGTCACATTTTAGCATTATGCCACCCATCCTCAAACACTGACTGAGCCACATGGTCTGGCGAATGAAGTTATCAGTGCAAAAGGGTGTGTATGTTGGAGACAGACACATGGATTGTTATACAATTTCTCTCTTAAGCATCGTTTCCAAAATCTGAATAGGTGGACACTAGTTGGACTTAAAAAACCATGAACTGCAGGAGTCAAAGTAACTCGAAGTAAGTTTTAATGTTCTTTTAAGGTTTCCCAGGGTTTACATTTCATTGTGTGATGGCAGAGAAGGACAACCAAGATATGCCTGTGAAAAAGGTGAACCCATGGAGCAGATTTTTTAAGTCTTGCTGTTGTGATGTCTATCAAGTGGGCACGTATATAACATAAAGAAATATTTCTGAAGAAGAATGAACATTAGAGGTTGGATTTTTTTGCATATTAATAATGTTTTCCATCTATTTTTAGAACACATAGAAAAGACAGATTTTGGAGCTTTAGGTACTTATAGTAATCATGTCGCTTCAGCAGCAATTAGTGCATCAGGGGAAAGACCAGAGCATATAACATAATACAAGTTACTCAATTTTTTGACAGAAATGTTATCTTGCTTCCCAAGCAATTTCATCTGCTACTGTCTATGTAGATCAGCAGCAATAATTACTCCTAGTTTCCAGGCAAAGATGATTTCTGGGCATTTGAAAGGAGCCTGTAGATTCTCCTTTGATTCAGACAGCTGCTACTTGCCCTCAGTCACTCCCAAATCTACTGGCATGACAACTAGCATGAAGATATTGAACTCTTAGCTCCCAAGAACCATGTTATACAGGGGGGAAATTGAACCAGGCTCTCTAGAGAACAGCAACAGGGTCCTGTCTGGGCTCCAAAAGTGGGGATTGCCAGACAGACAGCACTTCAATACTGACTGCTTCTTTGGAATTAATTGCATTTATGTTCTGATCTTCATTAGGAGAACAATTTCCTTCCAGTCACTTTTGTGAAAATATGAAGTCCAACGAGACAGACTTGTGTGAAAGGAAATCTTCCATCTGACAAGTGCATCTGTCAGGGTACCCACAACTGGGCAGATGCAGCCAAGTCCATGGGAATCGGCCACAGTGAGATGGAGCAGTCCTTGCCTTGGAGGGCTGTTAATATGCTGCTGCCAAGTGATACCTCCAGTGGCTACTTGGTAGGCCACACAGCAACAACGACAATCGCAATCAGCAGCAACACGATCACCACCATCATCCCTGAAAGAAACCAAAACAAAATCTAATTATCTTCTACAATTTGTTTGCAGGAGTATCTGTTACAGAAGAACGATTTCATTTCTAAAAGACTAGTCTCAATTTCTCAGTAGTGGCAACTCAGTTTTGCCCTTCTGCATAGCAACCACAGACATATTTCAACAAGCATAGTCATTTTAAGGGGTGAGAGAGGGGAGATGAATGAATGGTATCAAAGACTCCTTTGATTTCTTATTTGACTCCAGTTAAATATAAATGGGGAGGTATGAAGACTATGGCTTCCTTCGAACACTCTATGCCAATGCTAGGGCCAAATGGATCAAGTATATGGCTACCGTCTTATGTTGCGCTAGTGGTGTGGGAGCTGCTGGAGCATGGCTCCTTCCCATGCTCGTGCAGTAATATAAGACGGGGACCTATGTGCATTCAACTGTTTTCAGCCAAGGACCTTGCCAAGCAACACTCACTCAGAAACCGTATTTCCCGATCCATTAAATGGAAACAATAGTTCACCTGTAACAAGTCTGCTGTAAATGTAAGGCAAGCAAACAGCTATAGCTGATTTTGCACATGAAAAATGCAATTTCGCAGCAATTACAAAAATGAATGCAAGAACATGACTCTGTTCTCAAATAGTCCAAGTACCTGTGCCACTACTATTTTTTCTCTGCCCCTTCCATACAACATAGACAAAACAGGAAGTAACTGAAGTGTTCGTTTGAAACTGGAGGAACAGAAAGCCTCAACATAGGAAAAGCAGAAGCACTAACTGAGCTGCCAGGATCTTCTGGAGGCAAACTGCCTCAGGTTTGGCCTATACATGCAGCACAATGAGGTGGGAGAAAAGATTGGACCATTTCAGATCGCAGGTGTGGTGTGCCATTTTTGCATGCTCCTGCATGCAAAAAGCTTCCTGTAAACCAAGAATTAGTATGTGAGGGAGAAAAGAAATATATTTATTATAATATTTATACCTCAACCTTTCTCACCATCTGTGGAAGCTCATGACAGCTTTTTTTTTGGGGGGGGGGGTTAAATGTTTATTAAGATCAAGTATACCTTATAACATGTACAATAACTGCAAAACAGTATATAAAACCAAACACTGTATGAAATAATTAAAACAAAATAATAAAAATTCTGTCACATGCAATCTACCCAGTGTACATTTCCCCCAAACATTGCCAGCAGCAGAAAATACAGACACTAAACTTAATCAAAATTCCTTTAAATGACAAGGCCCCATGGTCAAAGGCCTTCACAGGTCACAAGGCCTTCAAAACCCTCCTGTGGTGGTGGAAAATGCCGTCAACTCACAGCTAAGTTATGGCAACCCCAAGTTGTTCCTAGCATCCTACTAGAGACTGTACCAAAGGGCTGGAGCTACAACCTAAACAGAACGCAACTAAACAATGATTGATCTAATTGACTTGAGGAAGGGTACAGCCAGAAGAGAGCTAAGAGAAGACCTGAGGTGGTACATAGGTCCTTACTGGAAAAGAAAGCCCTTCCAAGGCCAACTCTTCCAATGCAGTGCTGTTTTCTGTTTACAGGCAATAATTTATGTAGGTGAGTATTCAAAAATATGATTGGTTTATCTTTCACCTTCAGGACTGAGATGTAATTTCAGCATAATGCTGGAGACAAAAGAACATCCCTGTGTGACTGTGCACATGGCCAGTATCTCGTTTCAACTGGGCTGCTACCTGTGCAAAACAGCTATGCATGCAAAGTTAGCACATCAGCACATCTGCCCAGGTGTATGCTAACTTTGCACATGTAACGTCTTTGAAATGTCAGCAGCCCAGTTAGAACAGGATACTGGGTGAATGGAAAACAACACTGGGAGGCTCTGCTGCCTCACCAACATCATGTTTCAATCAGGTTTCATTCCACAAAGAAAGGAGGGCAAAGCCTCAAAGTCAGGAGCAGGGAGCTATGTTCTATTGGTGAGAAGGAGCACAGAAGGGGTCAGTGGAAACAGTGGAGTTTCTTGCATACCGTCATGTCCAAAGAAGGAGAAGGACCCTACCAAAATTTATCTCTCAAAATCTAAGGAGAAGGATATGACTTTGGCTTAATTAATTTGTGCAGCAACTCAAACTTTATAAAATCCAACATTTCTGCTATGTGGGACAATACTCTCTCTTTCTCCAATTCCTTGAAAAAACTCATCGGTTAGGGAAGATTCAAGCTAGCAATTTTCTACGTACTGGGTTTAAAAGGGGGGAGGGGTATGGAAAGGATGCAATCATGTGAACCCTTATCTGTGTCTAAGCTTTGTCAATGAGAGCTAGGTCTCAGTAATAACATTAGGAAGCACATTTCTCTGGTATATATTAAAAGACAGTGCCTCATAAGACAGATAAAATAAGTCAGAAATATATCTTTAACAGCCAGGTTTTATGGTGTGTTTCTTCTTCACCGCATCTTGAGGGGACAATCTGTCAGGCTCACTATGAATGTTATAGTTCGCCTAAAATAGAGAAAGGAGGAGGGGGAGAGGGGTGTGAAGACCAAAATGCTTTCGCTTTCCTAAATGCTTTGATATGCCAGACACTGTGTTGCAGAGACCTGTTGTTCTGCTTTATTTTTGTAGAGGGGTATGTGTTTAGTGTGTGTGGGGGGGTAGTTAACTGTTATTTCTGGTGGGCAAATGCCATGGGGTGATTGGGTCCTGATATTTAGTGCCTTTGCTTGAACACAATATATCTGCAATCTCTGCGCTTTCACCTTCAGTCCTAACAAAGCTCCTGTCCAGTATGGTATCTCTCAACATCTCAATAAACTAAACTATCTTCGAAGTGAATGGTGTTGAGAACTGATTTAACCAGGATTCTGACAAATTGTTAGGACTCCCTTTTTCCTTCCTCAACATCCTGCACCACAGCTGTGATGAGCAGAGAGAATGGGGAAGTCCCTACAACTGCAGCAGATGGCACCATGCCTGAGCAACGGACAATGATGGCCCCAGTGATGACCATGGAGTCCAAAGGAGAGGAAGACGGGGCATGGACCCAAGACTCCTGGGTACCACTCTCTTATCGGGTCGCGCCTCCAGGACCAAGCAGCCGACTGGTGCGTGGGTCTCCACAACATCCGGGGCTTGGAACTCAGAGATGTGAATGTCTTCATGTGGACACTCCGATGCCAATACGAAGACCACCTGGAGCTAGAGAGAGCATGCACATGCCTGAGGGGCCTATGCCAGGGTGGGCACTTGGTGTGGGAGTACTTTCATGACCTCAAAACACACTGTGAAGCTCCAGGGATGGCCCAAAGAAGTCCTCATCGAGTTCTATCAGGCCGGGCTGAACCACTCAATTATGGATCGGGCCTGGGCCCAGGGCAACCTGCTAACCCTGAATGGGTGGATACAGATGGCCTGCAAGGTGGAGAATCGCTCCAACCTTTTGCGGATGTACCAGCTCCGGGCTCCAGTGAGGGTGGCGGCGGAAGCAGAAGAACAGGGGACAAAACCAAAGGCGAGGGAAGCCGTCAGAGACCAACCGATGAGACAGGACCTGTACCTAAGATGTGGGGCCCTGGGGCACTTTGCGGCCACATGCCCTCTTGACAAGAGCCCTGGGGATGGGAAGGCGAGCAAGTGTAAGACCTCTGAGAAAAGGCCCAAGCTGCAAGGGGCATGGATGAAGCAACCCATAGCACTTCAAGCAGGAGAACGGGGAGAGTCTGACGGCACCTCCTCCAGTGGAGACAAGCCCAATGTGCCAGCGGGAAAAGATTGGGACCTGCTATGAAGGGCGCAACCCAGCAGGTCTGAAAGTCCCATGCACCAAGTTCAGTGAGAACCTCTCCCCCTTTGTCCTGTGTGACCATGACTGTAATAGTGCCAGTGGAGCGTGCTATGCCTGGAGGAGCCCCAGGCCAGGCAGCTGGGCCAGCTCAGCACTCCTGGTATGTGCCCCAATGGTCCCGCCTTCCCTTCCTTTCTTGCCACCCTGTGACCGGCCGGCCTGGCAAAGCCAGAGGTTGCCTCCTGCAGCCTGGCACCACTGACGACAGAGACAGGCTGGGGGGCAGGCTGGCTGGCAGCGCCCCAACGGAGGGGGAAGGTTAATTAAATTAGCCAGTGCCCCCCATAAATTAAAATGCCCCCGGGCCCCAACTTAATTCCTGGCTATGGGCCTGACTGACTCATCTCAGGGCTACATTTATGTTTATATTTGTCATGTATATTTTTGTATGTTTTATTTGCAGACCTCATTTTGGTTACTGCCTGTTTTTTATACCGCTTTCTCTCAAGGCATAGCTTCACTCTTTTCCATTCATCTATGCTAGTGTGCTTCCCTTCTAGATTTCACTCTTAGCTCTCTTTCCTGTTCATCTTCCTGTTGCATTTTAGCAATTCTATCTCCAGTACAGAGGTTTGAGCATTTCCATTGTGTTCTGCATCTGTTTTCAGTTCTCCAAGAGTCCTATCTTGGTTGTTTAATTAGTGCACATTAGTTTACAGACTCTAGTAATAAAGCTACAGAGGATTTTGTCAGAATCCTGGTTAAATCAGTTCTCAACACCATTCACTTCGAAGAAAGTTTTGTTTATTGAGACGTTGACAGATACCATACTGGACACAAGCTTTGTTAGGACTAAAGGTGAAAGCACAAAGATTGCAGATATATTGTGTTCAAGCAAAGGCACTAAAGATCAGGACCCAATCACCCCACGGTATTTGCCCACCAGAAATAACAGTCAACTACCCCCCCAAGCACAAGTGCCCCGGCCTTCCCCCCACAACTCTTGGCATTCACTCCCTCCCACTCATGCAAATATCAAGACCTTCTTGTTCCGTATGTCTCCACTGTCTCTAAAAAATTATGGAACAAAGTCTGAGTCCAATGGCACCTTTAAGACCAACCAAGTTTTATTCAAAGTGTAAGCTTCCGTGTGCAAAGCATACTTCTTCAGACAAACTGGAATAAAATCTCCTCAAGGGCTACTTACAGGAAAAAAGAGGTTCTTAAAGGACTTGCCCTGACCAG